CACTGAATAACCCTCTCGTCTTAGCACCAACGAACTGGTACATGTTTCCTACTAGCCTACCTCTCACTTGTGCCTCTCTGGCTACATTAGCCTCCACTTTTCCCAGCCGCCCAGGATCTGCTCCCACTTCAGTTTCTGCCTCAGGGTCTTTGCCCTGGCTTCCCTAGCCTGGAGCATTCCTCCTCCACAAAGCTACAGGAGCAGTTCCTTTACCTGTGTCAGATCTTTCCTCAAATATTAGCTTTTCCATGAGGCCTTCCCAGGGCAATGAACCCCTCCCCCAACTCCCTATTATCCTATTTCCCTGTCTCATTTTTTTCCAACATCACTTACCACTGCACTATATATTTTACCTAAGTATTTATTTATCTATCTAGAAATGAGCTCCTTGAAGACAGAAATTTCTGGCCTGTTTTGCTCCTAGCACCCAACGGTGTAGCAAGGTCTCAATATTTGTCAAATAAATGAATGAATGAATGAATGAATGAGTGAATGAAGACACATGGTCCCTACTCCCTCCTCAGACTCAAAAATTTTTAAGCTGTGAAGCCCTTTCTTTTCTAGTGGATCACTACCATCACCAGTGTATTCCTTGGTGTTGACTGTCAAAGGAAGGATTGTGTGACATTTTCCCAGACACATGCCACTTGAATTTTTTTTCTAGTGTCCTCCACTGATGTCAACATCTGATGTAAAAGCACACATTACAGTTTGAGCACTCTAAACGCTGCTACAAATACATAAAATACATAAAAACATCGATGAATGACAGAACACATCTATGTTCTAACCAAAATAGACACACTCTGTAAGGCCAGAGCTGTAAATATCAGTAGGGTGAATTAATGTACAGAAATGTGATGACAAGAAAATTCTTTTTTACTCTAAAAGTCTAAAAAGGAAATACTACATAAGTAAAGAATATCTTTCCTGCATGCAACACTGGCGATCAAAACTGCCCATAACCCACGGTCTGTAACACTGGATAAGAAACTGCTCACGGGTTCTGGCCCCTTCCTCAATTTCTTGCAGCTCACACTGGAATACTTACCTTTCTGACAGAGAGACTAGGTAGGCTTAAGCGCTCTGACTTTCAGGGAAAGGGAGAATTAAAAACACAGTGGCAGGTAAATGCAAGGCAACGTTATTGCTTCCCAAACACCGTCATACACACCTGCTTCTTTCTATCCCCTTCCCTGGTCGTTTGACTCATGTTTCGGCCAAAAACTGAAGTATTCAGAACGCTTCGTGGGAAACTGCTGACACTTGGGGCGAATGCCCACTTGAACCTGATGTGAACGTTCGAGTCCCAAAGCTACCACGGGCTCTCCTTTCCCCACCTCTGTCCCAGGTTCCGACCATGGCTCCACCTTGCCTCAGGCCTGGTCCAGACCCGTCCTCTCGCCACGGAAGGAGTCTTCCAGGGCAGATGCTCAGAGAGGAAGGCAAGGGCGCACCTCCCAGAGGCCAGGTGTGGGGAGGACGGCCGGCAGGAGCAGCTGTCTGGCTGCAACAGCTGTTACCCTGGGCACCCCGAGGCTGGGCGGCTGGCTGGCCCCGAGGAGCAGGTAGCGGACGGCGAGCCCTCTGGCCCTGAGCAAGCCGACCTGACACTGCCCACCCCACCACCCTCTTCCCTTCCTCGGCTCCCCACCGCGATGCCAGTGGGCCCCGGAGGAGGAGGCTCCCCGGCTCCGAGGACAAGGTGTGCCCGGGCCTGGCGTGCCCCTCGCCGGGGAGGAAGCTCCCTCCGGCCCCGCACCTGACCTGTCCCCTCGCCTGACGCCCGAGCCAGCCGCGGCCGCTGCCGGGACGGCCTGTGGGTGTCCATGCGGCTGGACCAGGTCTGCCGGAGCGGCGGGGACGCGAGCGCGGGCGACAGGCCCGGACGACCCGGACGGGCGGCGGAGCCAGGGCGCGGAGCGGAGCCGGGCAGGGGAGCGAGACCGAGTCGCTGGTTACCTGCGGTCCGGGACAGGGAGTCTCTCAGAACCCAAGTCAGTCTTCAGCCTCAACAACACAAGATGGCCGACACGTCGCCACGCACGTCACGTGACAGCGCGCTCGCTCCGCCACGCCCCCTGTTCTGCCCCCGCCCCGCCTCGCCTCCCTCCCGGCTCGTCCAGCCTCCCACGACATCCTTCCTTTCCGCTGCCTCCCGCCCCTCTTCCCCCGACACGCCCCTGCCGGAGTCCCGGATGTCAGGCTGGGAGGGGGCGGGGCAGCGGCAGGGCGCAGGCGCCAGCGGGTCCCGGGCCGGGGCTTCCTGCCTGCCCTTGAGTTGAGTAGAGTTGGCGTCCAGAGTTGGCCCCAGGCCAGGCGCCCTGTGACTCACGGGCCTGGGGGCCCAATCCAGAGCCCGTTCGCGGTTCAAAAAGCTCTGCATCATTTACGAGCTGATGTTTCCAAACTAGAACTTTTCCACAGATTTTCGTCCAGCATTTTTCTGACTGCTTGCCATCCTAGAGAAAACGGGGAAGCGGCCAAAGCTGGAATTCAAAGCGGTGTCTCTACTTCCTAACGGTTCTGGTAGAACTGGGGTTCATGCTGGTCTTGGACTGTGACAGCTGGAAGGACTGTAGCTCCCACCCCCTCCTACTGTATCCGGGCCTAAATCCCTTGTGCCTGAAAACCCTCCGTGTGGGGGTTGTCAGATAAAGTACAGGACACCCAGCAATATTGGGGGTGTACCTACACTAAGAAAATATTCATTGTTGTCCTGAAATTCAAATTTAACTGGGCGTCCTGTATTTTTATTTGCTAACTCTGGCTACTCTGTCCTCAGATCATCTCGTTCTTGTGACTCCAACCCTCTCCCTTTTTTACGGGATCCTTCCCATCACTCTTATTTTTTCCGTTTTTAATCCTCACCCAAGAATATGTTCATTGATTTTTTTTTTTTTTTGAGGTGGGGGGGGAAGAAACATCGATGTGAGAGAGAAACAGCAATTGGTTGCCTCTCATAGACACCCCAACCGAGGACTGAACCTACAACCTAGGTTTGTGACTGGGAACCTATGTCCTTTTGGTGTATGAGAGGCTCTCCAACCAACTGAGCCACAGCAGCCAGGACCCATCAGCTTTTAAAAATACTCACATGTTCTTCCATCTTAAAAGTTAATGCGATGCGAACAACTCCAATTCCTCCTCCAACCATCTCCTACCTCTGTTCCCTTTCAGAGCCAAACTACACAAAAAAAGTTGTTTATAAGCACTCTCCCCGTTCCCACACCTAGCAAGCAATCATGAACAACTTCAATGTGGCTTCTCTCCATTCACCTACTGCTTGCTGGAAGGACACCTCAACCTACAGCTTGCTAACGAGTTTTTCAGCCCTCACCTTGACTTCTTTCCCCTGTCTGGGGATCACTCTTTACTTTCTTAAATACTTTCTTCCCTTGACCTTTATGCCCGTGCTGCTCGAAGTGTAGTCAACCAACAGCATCACTTGGAAGCTTGTTAGAAATGCAGAATCTCAAATGGTGCTTTAGCAGTTCTTCCCCTTACTCTCTGCCCTGAACATAACGCTTCAAATATACCCATGGTTTAGGGCCCTCAAATGTGTCCTTCTCTTTTAGCCTTTGCACATGCTCTTCCCTCTTGTTCAAATGCCATTCCCAACACCCCACTTCTTGCCAACCTGCTTAATGCCGTCTCATCTTTAAGGGCCCAAATTGTGAACCTCTTCAAAGCCTTCTTTAATCCCTTTCCTTAGACCAAAGAACTTATTCCTTAAACTGTTATTTTTAAGAAAAAAAACGTAATACTGATGCTTGTTATGTTATTAAGCACTTCATTGAGCACTTGACTTTCATTCTGTTCTGTAACCCTGGTGATGGCGCTGTAGGGCACCAGATTCTCCAAACCTCAGCCAGGACTTCCCAGCCTAGGCTGACTGATTGCAGAACTCATGTCCCTAACTTGTGCCTGTATTAATATTGCATACAGTAAAATTTAACATTATTATATGCAGTTCTGCAACTTTTGACAAATGTAGACAGGTGTGTATAACTACCACTAAAATAAGGTACAGAATAGTCCCATCACCCACCAAAGTTCCCCCCAATGACCTTTTTAGGTAGCCCTAACCCACCCCAACTCCCAGCCCCTGAAACCACTGTTCTGTTTCCTATCCTTATAATTATCTGTTATCATATAAATAATTTTATAGAGTATACAGACTTTTGAGACTGGCTTCTATTAGTTAGCTAATACATTTGAGAGTCAGCCATATTATTGCAAGTTTCAGCACTTTCTTCTTCTTTTAATCCTCACCAGAGGATCTATTTCCGATTTCAGAGAGAAAGGAAGGGGGAGGGAGAAAGAGAAACATCAATCAATAGGTTGCCTCCTGTATGCACCCTGACCTGGGATTGAACCCACAACCTGGGTATGTGCCCTGACCAGGAATGGAACCTGTGACCCTTCAGTGAATGGGACGACACTCCAACGGAGTCACACTGGCCAGGGCACTTTCTTCTTTATTACTGCTGAATAGTATTTTACTGGATATATGCACTATATTTGCATATCCATTTCCCAATTGAGGGACATTTGGGTTGTTTATAGTTTGGGGAGATTATTAATAAAACTGCTATAAATATTCACATGCAGGTATTCGTGTGAACATAGGTTTTTCTTTCACTTGGATAAATACCTAGGAACAAGATTGGTGGTTATGTGATATTTGCTTACTTTATCAGAAACTGCCAAATTGTTTTTCAGAGTAACTTAGCCATAGTTTTAGCCCTAAACTATAAGCTTCAGAGAACAGAAACTGACTCTAGGGGAGGATAATGATGGTGAAAGTTTATAACATCCCATGCTTTTAACCATTACACATACTGCATTATATGACTTTGTTTCCTCAGCAGCTGACTTTGTCCTGGCGCATAGTAGACACTCAGTAAATACCTATAGAATCAAATAAATTTTTTGAAATGAACATATCCTCAAGATTTTGTCACATAATAAAACAAAATATGAAGCTTAAAACTGGATCACTTGGCCCTGTCTCCTCTTATCTCCTCCCGGTTCAACATGCTGCATCTCTTACTAGCCAGCATTCTCTTAGATCTGCAGATGGGCTCATTGCCCTCAAGCCTCAGCACAATCTTCTTTGTAGTTTTAGCCTTTTTGCGGAAAATCGGCTTAGTCTGCCCACCAGAGCCACTCTGCTTCCTGTCTTTTCCCCGCTGTCCCTGCTCATGCAGAGAAGCCTTGCCCTTCTTGTACTGTGTTGCTTTGTGGGGTTGATGCTTGCCACCCTTCCTACAGAAAGTCCGGTGGCTTTGAGGAATGTTCACCATGCTTGCGAGAGCGCTATTGGCATGAAAATGCTAAATTCCTGGTTATACTCCTCAGGAAGGGTGCTTTCCTTTATCTCTTTGTCTCTCCAATGTTTTGTTAAATAGTATTGTTGTTTTTAAAATATGTTTTTATTGATTTTTTTAGAGAGAGAGATAAAAACATCCATGTGAGAGAGAAACATAGATCAGCTGCCTCCTGCACGCCCCCTACTGGGAATCCAGCCCACAACCTGGGCATGCGCCCTGACCAGAAATTGAACCAGTGACCCCTTGGTCCATAGGTGATGCTCAGCTACTGAGCCACACAGGCTGGGCTAAACAGTGGATTTTAAAGTTACAACAGTCAATTGATGCTTGCCCTAGTCAGTGTGTATCAGTGATAAAAACGAGAAGTTGAGACTAACAGATCATTAGGGGGAGAAGGGAGTAAGGAATTTAGCTGGAAAGTTTATTTAGTACCAAACACAGGTTGATCAACTATGACAGACTGTGCTTTTCTAAAGATGGCATCAACAAAATCTTCCATGCCACCCACTCCTCTAAAACCTTGTAACTACCCTTTCTGGAGGCAGAGAGTAGTTCCCTCCCCTTGGGCCCTTGTAACCAATCCAATGTGCTGGAAGTGAAACAGGTGACTTCCAGTGCTAGATCACAAAGGTGGCGGACCTTCCACCTTGTTTGCACAAACAGTCTCTTTGGAAGCAAGAGTTGCCATCTAGTAAGTCCCAATGCCCTGAGGCTGCCGTTCTGCCAGGAAACCCAGACCACCAGCTCAACAGCCCCAACTAAAGTCCTAGCGTCAACAACCAGACATTTGAATAAACGATGCCACCAGGTGATTTCAGCCCCAGCTGTCAGTCATGCCCAACCCAAGACATGAAGCAAGGACAAGCATCCTCACTGGGCTGTATCTGAATTCCTGACCCACCAAATCTATGAGCATAATGAAATGGTCGCTTTCAGCTACTACATTTTGGGGTAATTTATTACACAACAATTTGAACATACTCTTTTTTTTTTTTTTTTTTTCAGACAGAGCAAGAGGGAGAGAGGAAGGAAGAGAGAGAGAGAAACATTGATGTGAGAGAGACACATCGAGTGGTCGCCACCCACACAATCCCAACTGGGGCCGGGGACAAGCTGCAACCGAGGTACATGCCCTTAGTGGGAACCGAACCCGGGACTCTCTGGTCTGCAGGCTGACGCTCTAACCGCTGAGCAAAACCAGCCAGGGCGAATATTCTCTTTATGGATCGGATTGTGTCCAAAAAATATGTTGGTATCCTAACCTCAGAAAGTACCTCGGAATGTCACCTTATTTGGAGATAGAGTCTTTAAGAGGTAATTAAGCTAAAATGAGGTCATTAGGGTGGGCTGTAATTCAATATGACTAGAGTCCCTATTTTTTTAAAAAGAGAAACTTGACCCTGGCCAGTGTGGCTCCGTTAGTTGCAGCATTGCCCCATGCACTGGAAGGTTGTGGGTTCAATCCCCAGTAAGGGTACGTGTGAGAGGCAACTGATCAAGGTTTCCCTCTCACATTGATGTTTCTTTCTCTCTCTCTCCCTTCCTTTTTTTAAAAAAAATCAATGAAAATAAAAGTTTAAAAAGGGAAATTTGGACACAGACACAGAGAGGGACAACTGCATGGGAAGAGGAAGGTAGAATCAGGTGATATGTCTGCACACCAAGGACCACCAGAGATTGCCAGCAGACCACCAGAGGCTAGGAGAGGGGCTGGAACAGATTTCCCTCTCCGCCCTCCAAAGGAACCAGCCCTGCCCACACCTTGATCTCGGCTCTCTCCTCCAGAATTGAGACGATACGTTCTTGGTAAGCCCCCCAGTTGGTGGTACTTCGTTATAGCAGCCCTAGCAAACTAATACAACCACCCAAAGAGCTGAAGAGGCCATTGGAAACGAAGATTAGAGGGGGTCAAAGCTACAAATCTTGCCCTGGCCAGTTTGGCTCAGCAGTTAGAGTGTTGGCCCGCGGTCCCGAGAGACCCGAGTTCGGTTCCTGCTAAGGGCATGTACCTCGGTTGCAGTTTGTCCCCGGCCCTGGTTGGGTCGTGCGGGTGGCAGCCACTCGATGTGTCCCTTTCATGTCGATGTTTCTCTCTCTCTCTCTCTCTCTCTCTTCCTCTCTCTTCCTCCCACTCTATCTGAACAAAAAATGAAAAATGTCCTCGAGTGAGGATAAAAAAAACAAACTACAAATCTGAGGAGATCTTTGAAATCATGAGGAATCACCCATCACCACCAAAGAGGAAGGTCAGGACTAAGGCAGGCTCTTAGGAAGAAAGGGGTAGCTGGTGGACAGAGAGAAGTTCCAGGTAGGACCAGGTTAGAGGCAGGAGGCAGACAGAGGGAGGAAAATGTTGATTAGCAATGCCAAATCTGCAGGGGTATGAAGGGGCTAGGGCTGGGAAGAGGCCATTGACTGGGTGACGAGCACCCGCAGAGTCGGGAGGACAGAGGGTTAGGAAAAGGTGGGTGATGAGGAAGAAAGATGCAGCCTTTTAAAAGTGGGTGAAAGAGCAGGACAGCATTGTTGCTGCAGAGGGCAGTGCCACTCTGATTGGAACCCTAACCAAGAGTGTTTGGGCACCACTGAAAACCGAGCGGGAAACACAGTTAGAGAGAGTGGGCAGATACGGAGCGAGAGAGCTGAGCAAACACCTAGAAGAGGCTGCTCGTATGATAACTATAGAAACAGATCCATTTTTACGTGGGAAAACTTTCTTCCTTGTCAAAGTACTTGCAGGCTTTAAATTTTCTTCTTATTTCCACCCTCCGGATGTATAACAAGACCAACCATAAAAGCTATCTTGGAGTAAAATAAACATATTATTTCACGTAAATACACCACACTCGTCTTCTCCTGAGCCCCTGCAGATTTAGGATTTCATATTCGCCCGTCCCAGAGGGTCCCACGTGCATGGCCAGCGGCTCTTCTCACTTTGTTTGTGGCCAGAGAGGCCCCTCTCTTTTTATTAGCTGTTAAAAGTAGTAGTAAAGCAGTACGTGTTTGTGATTTCTAAAGTTTTAGTGGTCAAAACATGTAAAGGAAAACAATGAAATCCCCTGCAGACCTACCCAGGACCCACAGATTGTCCCCCTCTCAGGAAACCCACTATTGACAGTTCATTGTGTGGTTTCCCCAAAATATTGTAGGCAGGCACAAGTATGATGTGCCTCTTCATTCTCAGCACCCCCAAGGGCCGAGGGTACAATGGCTGTCCCCAAGTCCACTTGGGCACTGACCTCACGCAGCTTGGCCGACAAGGGCAGGGACATGGCTTCATCTCTCTCATGTAAAACAAGCAAAAGTAAAGTCTAAGCACCGTGATGCGTGCTGCTCTGCTCCTGGCCTCTTCCTAAGAAACAGTATGTCTTGGAGTCCTCTACATTTTTTTCATGGCTAACAGTTCATTTACATGGATGCCCATAATGTCCTTAATCGACCCCTGCTGGTTGTTTCCAGTGTTTTTTCTGTTACAGACGATGCTGTAGTGAGTAGCCCTTTAAAATATACCCTTGTTCGCCTGCCAGTGTGGCTCAGTGGGACCCAGGCACCAAGAGGTCACTGGTTTGATTCCCGGTCAGGGCACATGCTCAGGTTGTGGGCCAAATCCCCAGTGGGGGGCATGCAGGAGGCGGCCAATCGATGTTCTCTCTCATCGATGTTTCTATCTCTCTCTCCCTCTTTCTTCCTCTCTCTCTAAAGTCAATAAAGAAAAAAATTTTTAAATAAATAAATATACCCTTATTCATGTTTATATTTACCTGTAGAATCAATTCCCAGAAGTAAAATCCCTGGGTCAAAGCTCATGAGTATCTCAGCAGTGGACAACTGTCACTCTTATATGACTTTCTACACCTGAAGTACTTTTCATGTTCTGGGGAAATAAAAATCTTGGGGGAGACAGAGCCTGCCTCCCTTTACAGAAGACAAGATACTACCCTTTCCTGCTCCCAGCATGTGGTCAGAATCTGGTGAATAGGCAGGGTCAGCAAGGGGAAATCTGAGCAGGGACAAGGCCACAGGTCACATGATCAGGCTGGGAGGGCTCAGCAAGTGCCAGCTGCAAGGGGGCTGGCAGGTGAGTAGGCAGACTGGCAGAAATCTCCCAGACTGGGGAGGGGGCTTCAAAAGAACAGAGAAGCTGAGCACGTGGGCATCTGGGCTTGGGGCCAAGGTAGCAGCCCTGGCATGGGATCCCTGGCACGTGACTTTAGAGACCCAGGGCTCAGGAGACAGAATTGCAAAAAGTCTACGATAGAGAGGGGACCAATATGTCCCGAGCTCTGGATATATGCCAGGCGTGGAATCTGCCAAGTAGACAATCATCATCCCTACTGGACAGGTGAGGAAACAGGCTGAGTGCAACGAGTTGCCAGCCTAGTGTCTGACTCCAAACCCCGTCACATCACACAGCCTCCAGGGCAGAGGCAGGCTGATTTGTTTGCTTTCCCTATTGCTCAGTGAAAGGAAGGTCTCTGGGGGTGGACTCATCACTCTTCCAGTGAGAATGATCTCCCCACACTCTGCTGTCCTCACTTTCAGAGCTGTCCCCTCAGGTCAAGGCACTTGGAAGGTCCTCCCTTTGCCATCTCTGTCTGCTGCAACAGACCTGAGGCATCCTTATTAAGGAAACATACAAGGGGTCGCTGTCATGTGCAGGGCATCGTGCCTGGCCTGCAGCGGGTAAGGCAGAGTTCCTGCCCTTCATAGTTCGGAGGAGGAGGAAGAAGTAAAGGTTTTCAGCTCGTTCGGATAAACACCAGTAAGCGCAACTGTACAATAAGTCTCTCCACTCCTTTTTCATGTCCACTGCCTCTGGTGGGGAGGTTGGAAGGTGACCCAACCTAGAAAAATGCCTGAGAATTATCTAAGTCTTGGGCTTGTGCAGAAACAGAAAGGAGCCTTGCTGGGGTGCTAAGGCACTTCTCCTAGGACTGAAGTCCTTACCAAGTCCCCAGAACACCCTGGAGTTGCACGTGGGAAGGAAGCGGCATTGGCCCTCATCAGAATTTCAAAGGTCTAGGAAATAAGAGAGAAATTTAGCCACAGGTTTTATGTGCAGCTGAAAGAGTCCTCAGTGATGGAATGGGAAGAGCTGCTGACAGACCACCTCAGTGCTCAGATGCCCTAGAGTCACTCAACTTCAGGGACTTGGTGACCAACAGGAAGCTGGGTTGGATGTGGCCCCTCCAGAGAACACTTCTCTCTCCTCCAAATTAAAAGACTAGAAACACAATAATGTGATGGCAAAGTCTATTTGCACAGTTTATTTTAAAAGAAACAGCTGTAAGGTAGAAGTGCAGATGTTTTCTTTATTGTAAAGATAGCAGTTACAAAAGAGAATAAATATGACATTAGGAAGTATTTATTAAAAATACAACAAACCCCTGGTATTTGTGCGCAGTCCTAAGAACTTGCAACGTATAAAAATGTGTGCTGGAGGTAAGAACAGTTTCACCACCTTGGAGCAGATGTTGAAAACATTCTACATGATGAGGATGGACGTGACCTTTAGGATTTAAAAGGTTCTAGATTTTTCATTTGGGAATGTCAGGGGTCTACTGTAGTATAATTTGCATAGAGTCAGTTAACAGGAATTCCCCTACTCATTAATAGTACTTCTAATTATTCTTGTATTGTAACATTTAAGTAGCACAGTATTTGAGAGCAGGATGAAGGCTGAAAATGGGGAGACATGAATGAAGGGGGGATGAGGAGGAGGGATCTGGGGGGAATGCTGGGGGACAGGAGAAAGGTGATGGGCAGGCACAGAACTTATCTTTCCACTATTTTGTGTCATCTGGGCAGCATGCCACACCCCGTTGGAGAGGGGACAGGCAGGGGTCCAGCCTGGCCTGCCTTAAACCTCACAGCCATGAAAGGAGGGCACGGGTGCAAAGGCAACTGGCAGACGCAGGCTAAGAATGAGAACAGGGTAGCTGATGGGAAACACAGGGGAGGAGAGAGGTGCAGAGAATTACCCAAGAAAATGGGCAACATGAACACCATAGCCTCCCAGGACTACCTCCTCTGAGGACCACCAAAGAAAGAAGGATCTGTACAACTGATTTCCATTCTTTGATGTGGAAGGGACAAGGAACAGGTGCGGGTGGGCGGGACAGGGAGGCAAGGGAACAGTTGGTCTATCTCACGTGGGGGTGGGAGCGCCCCCTGCTGCCCCTCTGGGGCTAGGAATTTGCTTGACAGTGGGTTGTGGAAGCTGGCTGGGGTGAGGGGTCATTTGGGGTGAGGAAGCCCGCCCAACTCTCTCCTGGCACAGCTGTGGACAGAGGTCGTGGTTGCCCGACTATGTGCTAAAAGCGGCCTTGAGCTCCCGGAAGGCTGCCTGGCGGATTCTCCTCTTCTCCTCCTCCCGCTTCCGCTCCTCTTGCTCGGCTTTCAGCTCCGCTTCAAACCTGCTGGCAGAGGACAAGGCCAGGACCTGCAGAGAACAGCAGACGGACCAACAGAGTGAGAGGGGAAGAAGAGAAACCTGGAGATGGAGCACCCACCAAACAGAACTTGGCCGCCTAGGACCATGTGACATGAGAACTCAGGCGGCCCGGGGCAGGCCCCTTAGCAAATACCCCGCCTGAGTTCTGCCCGGGTGTGCCTGGTGGCAGCCAGGATGCAATCACCTGCTGTCCTGGGTCAGTCTTCCCTTCTCTTCTTTGTCAGCTACTGCTTAGCATCCCCACCTGTTACCCAGGAAATAACCTCCCCGCTGGGATTTTGATTAGGATTGCCTCAATCTCCAGCGGCAAAGGGATTTCTTTACAATATATGCTTTCCCTGAATGTTTCCATTTTTAGTCAATGCGGTTTTTTATGTTACGCACTAAAATGTTTAGATCATTCTAAACTTTCTTTCATATATTACATGTTTTTTGTTGGTATTTGTGAATGAGATTTGGTGCGATTTTTAATTTTTTTTTTTTTTTTTTTTTTATCCTCACCCGAGGACATTTTTCCATTTTTTGTACAGATAGAGTGGGAGGGAGAGAGAGGAAGAGAGAGAGAGAGGGAAACATCGATGTGAAACGGACACATCGAGTGGCTGCCACCCGCACGACCAACCAGGGCCGGGGACAAACTGCAACCGAGGTACGTGCCCTTAGCGGGAACCGAACCCGGGTCTCTCCGGACCGCAGGCGGACGCTCTAACCGCTGAGCCAAACCGGCCAGGGCTGATTTTTAATTTTTTTTAAGCTTATTTTTAACTGATTCTTAAAAAATCCTCACCAGAGGATATTTTTCCATTTATTCTCAGACAGAGTGAGTGGGAGGGAGGGAGGGAGAAAGAAATAGGGGGAGGGGGAAAGAGAGAAAGCAAGAGAGAGAGAGAAACATCGATGCGAGAGAGACACATCCAATGTTTGCAACCTGGACCAGAGACTGAACCACAACCAAGGTACATGCCCTTGACCAGAATCAAACCAGTGACTCTTTGGTCCACTCTAACCACTGAGCCAGACCGGCCAGGGCTTAACTGCTTGTTTTGGAGAGAGAGGAAGGGAGAGGGAGAGGGAGAGAGAGAAACAGCCATGAGCTGTCTCATGCACAACCCCCACCAGGGATTGAACCCACAAAGGGGAATGAACCAGCAAACCCTCGGTACAAGGAACGAGGCCCAACCACCACCGGTCAGCACTGGTGCCATTTTTAAAAAACCAAACTTATCCTCAACAATACCATATTGGATAAATTCATCTTAAAATCCACTATTCTAGAACTAATTATTTTCTCTCTGGGTCTCATCCATTTGTGGGCATGTGCATTATTTAATACAGACTGCTAAATTGCTCTCCCACTTCCACCCCACCAGCACGGCACACAGGTTCTCACTTCCCCACAGCCTTGCCAGTGCTTATAATTAATCTTTTCCCTACTTGCCAATCTGATAGGCAAAAGAATTGGCACACTTCACTTCCTCTTTGGTGAATTACCCATTTGTATCCTTTGCTCATTTTTCTATTTAGCCGTTTTGTTTTCTCTTTTACTTTACATAATTTAGGTATTAATCCTTTGTTAATATCTTTCAGTTACTTTCTCCCAGTTTTTCATTTGTCTTTTAACTTCAAGGTAGCTTAAGCCATACAAATATTCTTAAATTTTGATGCAATCCATTTTTTTCAGTCATTTTCTTTCTGGCTTTTGTATTTTATGTCATGTTTAAGAAGGTTCTAAACTCATTTTCCTGTATTTTCTTCTAACACATTTATGGTTTCATTTTCACATTCAGCTCTTGAAGTCATCTGCAACTTATTTTAGTGAGAAAATAAAATAATTAATGAGAACTTGACTTCATTGTCCTAAGTGGATAGCCAATTGTCTTAAAAATGTTACTGAATAGCCCATTATTTTCCCACCAATTTGAAAATGATTCTTTTCATATACTAAATGAAGGATACCTGTTTTTATTATTATCTGTCCTGTTCTACTAACTGGTTTACTTCTTCCTATACCCGTATTACATTATTTAATATTACTGCTTTATAGAATGTCTTTATATTTATAAGAAAAATAAATATTCTTTCATCAAGTTGAAGAAGAATACTGTTTTATTTTAAAATGTGTTACGAATGTTAAACTTCACCAAATGTCTTTGAGATGTCTAACTGAAATGATCACATTTTTCTTATTTGATCTACCTATGGTATCCATATTTTAAGTTATCCTCGCAGTCTTAACAAACATTTCAAATGTTTTAAATTCACTCCATTTCTTAATATTTTAAGATTCTTACAACTATATTTATTAGATTGACATGAAATTTTTTTCTGATGTGTTATTTTTGTTTGTTTTTTGTTAATCCTCACCCAAGGATATTTTTTCGTTGATTTTTAGATAGAGTGGGAGGGAGGGAGAGAGAGAGAAATGTCCATGAGAGAGACACACATCGATTGGTTGCCTCCCGCGTGACCCTGACCGGGGCTGGGATCAATCTTGTAATGCAAGTACGTGCCATTGATCGGAATTGAACCTTCAACCCTTCTATCCATGGACCAATGCTCTAACTGCTGAGCCAAACCGGCCAGAGCTGACGTGTTATTTTTATTTCATTTTGTTATCAAAACCACATGGCTTCAGAGAATGAATGCGATATATAATCGTTTTCAGTGCATTTGAATTATATTTATGACATTGAAAAACATTTATAACATTGAAGAATTTATCCCTACATTCCTCAACACTTTACTGTTTTTTTGGGGGGGGGGGTGCTGGGCAGAGTAAACTCTCTAAATGTCTTTATAATTCATCACATTTTTCAAAAAGCATTCTCTTCATTAAGTTTCTTAATCTCATTATTTTACCTAGCCTGTTCCTGTCTCCATCATCTCTCCGTTTCTCTTGCTTCTCTGTCACTACCTGCTTCCACGTTGGGGTGTCTCTCTAGCCTCGTCTCTGGCCCACTTCTCGCTGGAGCTGAGACTGCCCGTGTCCCACAACGCTACTTAGTCCATTCTGATTTTCATTCCGGTACATTCTTTGCAGCCCAATGCCGATTCTCACAACTCGGTGACAAATTATGGTATCTTTTTTCTAAATTCTCTCTACACTTCACAGGGTTCTGTTTCTGAAGACAGATGCCTCTGAAAATATTACCAGGAAGTGTGAAGTTTTTGCTTTTTCTGAATCAGAAGCCCTAGAGGGTGGGAAGTTATATTTCCCAAATGTCCCAGGTATTCCTCAGGCACTCGGGCCCCTGCCCTGGCCTCACAGCCTCTCCCCTCCTCCAGCCCCCAGGCTCTCACCCGGACCCCCTACGTTAGAACCGGAGACCAGACCTCAGCTGCTCTCCCCATCTGGCTGAAATTCTGCACGCCAGGTGCACGTCTCCAGCCCTCGCACCTCTCCTCCTGCCTGCTCTTTCTGGATTCTGGCATGAAGTCCCAACTACTATTTCCCCAGCCCCCCAAGTGTCAGTGGTTCTAGAGCCCACATCTAGGGTGTGTTGGGCCCACCTGGGTTTACTTTCCGACCTGACAGAGACACCTGGCCAATCTTTGCAGTGACACCTGTCACAGTACCTTTAATTCCCAGGCCCTGTGTTTCTGCCCTGACACATTTACCACCCTCTGCCCACCCGCCAGACCCCACGCTTGGATGGAGGATTTTGTCTGTTCCTGCTTGCAGGCTGAGAACACATTTTCCCTTTAGAAGTCTCACAAGGACGGTGTCTGGATCCACTGGGAGGTGAACGTTTCCCGTTTGGGCTGGGCCCCTGACAGGGCTCAGCCCCCTCCCCCCACACCTCTTTCTCCACAAATGGCTGTGGCCCCCATGCACCCCGCCTCTCTCAGCAGCCCACCTCCCTTATTTAGAAAACAGACAGAAACGTAGTCCTTCCCTCTGCACTCCTTCCCACCTTTTATCTTCCCCTCTTTCCCTGTGCTGGGGGGGCAGGGGTGTGGGGCCCTGGGCAGTTCTCTCAGCATCTCCAGGCCCAGAGGCGTGCTGGAGCTGGCTGGTACCAGTCTGCAAGCCAGCTGCTTGATCTGCAGGGATTTTAGGAGCTGGTTGTTAATTATAGCCATTATTAAAAATCAAATCAGCCTGGCCAGTGTGGCTCGGTGGACTGAACGTCATCCCATGGACCGAGACGTCCCGGTTCGATTCCCAGTCAGGGCACATGCCTGGGTTTCCGGCTTGATCCCCAGTAGGGGGCGCGCAGGAGGCAGCTGATCGATGTTTCTCTCTCCCTTCCTCTCTCTCTAAAAATATCAAGAAAAATATATGTAAAAAGTTAATCATATGAATTTAAAATTTAATAAATTACATTAAAAGCAAAAGTAACAAATACTAAAAAAGTCAATTCTTGCTCATTTTACATTTTACTATGATCTGCGCCCTCGAGGGTATCGACAGGTGGAAACTGGACAGCGCTGTGCTATCGTGAATGCCCCGCCCCCCCCCCCCCCCCCCACACACACACAGCAGCATCCCATTGGCAGCTGGAAAGCGACTCGGGACTATTCACAAGAGGGAAACCAACCAATGCCATGAATTAGGGCTTGGCTGGTTGTGTCACTGACTGTCGAGACAGTCTTTTCTTTAAAAAGTGAAGGGAAAATGTTAAAAATGGCGATTACATTTTTAAAATGTGTAGTGTCTGAAGCCTTTACATCATGGATAGCTCCAAAACAAATTTGAGAGCATGTACTTTTTTTTTATCCTCACCTGAGGACATTTTTTTTTTTTTTTTGCATTTATCTTCAGATAGAGCAGGAGGGAGAGAGAGAGGAAGGGAGAGAGAAACATCGATGTGAGAGAGACATATTGAGTGGTCGCCACCCACACAACCCCAACCGGGGCTGAGGACAAACCACAAACTAGGTATGTGCCCTTAGTGGGAACCGAACCTGGGACTCTCTGGTCCATGAGCCGATGGAGAGCATGTTCTTCCAATGTTTGAAAACTATTATCAAATTCACCCATCACT